TAATACAAGCTTAGCAGACAGAGACTATAGAGACTATACCTTGATGTCATCATACTCGTACATTCCGCAGCCGGAGGCTCTTGGTCGCTGATTTAATAGGAGTTCGGACTAGGGAGACCCTTGAGGATAAAGACCCTCTGAAATACGGTCCCTTTTTTGAGAGAATCATAGGTATAGGCTAAGAAGGGTCCCCTTGAAGGGGTCTCCCTAATACTACTTAGGAGTTTCACAGGCTTTAGGATTTGGGTAAGGGCTTTAGGGCTCAGGGCTTAGCGGGTTTCGCCGTTTAGCCTCAAGTAAATTCAATCCTTGATAACGGTTCAGGCTCTCAGGGCCTGTTGCAACTTTCCCGTAGCCCTTACCTTAAGTTCCACGTCGAAGGCCCTCCCCGCACATTAGATAGCCGCAGGAAACTAAACCATGTTAGTAAGATGCATCTAAACCCTAAAACCTAAACCCTAAACCCTAAACTCTAAACCCTAAACCCGTGGAGTCACTCAAGGCCCATCCCTCCGCACCTTGGGGAACACTGGGATAGAACGCTTGGTGATTCGCGCCATAGCTGATCCGCTGCGGCACCTCCCAGAGACTCCAATATCCCTTAATTAAGGAATATACCTTAAATCATAGTAGGGATCCCTACTATAATTTGAGGTTATTCCTTAATTAAGGGATATTGGAGTCTCTGGGCTCGCTCGAGGATTGGGCTGCAGGGTGAAGCATTCTTTACAGTGGCGGCCTTGGGGGACAGACCAAGCAGCTCCCAAAGAGTCCAAAGTGCCTATATGGTAGGGTTTAGGGTTTAGGGTTTAGGGTTTAGGGTTTAGGGTTTAGGGTTTAGGGTTTAGGGTTTAGGGTTTAGTTTCTATATTTGGAATTGTTATTATGATTTGGGAAAGTAACCCCCATGGCAATACCTAGGACCCTAAGGGTGGGATCGTGCGTTGCATATAACGATGTGATCGGAATCTGCCTGCCTGCGCTCTGGTTGCATGTCACCTGAGTCCTACATGCACAAATGCATGATCCCTTCCCGCTAGTCGGACGCAAACTTGGGATCGAAGAAGCGACACATCGTGCAACCGTCCCAACGAACCTCAAGCAGGCTAAAACCTGGACCCTGAACCCTGGAACTTCGACTGCACACAAGGCCCTGAGTACCGTTTCAGCCCCTGTCACCAGAACCAGAACGAGGTTTATAGGGTTTAGGGTTTAGGGTTTTTGGGGCTTAGGGTTTAGGGTAGAGCATCTCAACGGCCTTCTTTGGTCCCTCATGATGATCGAAACGCAGAATACGAATACTACGACAGACCGACGTCAGCATGCACACACAATCACGCGACCTCCTTTTTTCACCATTCCCAGAGACTCCAATATCCCTTCGTTAAGGATCATACCTTAAATCATATTAGGGATCCTTATTATGATTTAAGGTCTATTCCTTAATTTAAGGGATATGGAGTGTCTGCGTTGCTACCCAGTCTCTGAGCAGAAGCTACCTGGACCCTAAAGGACCTACCTTTTTAGGCTTCATTATGATTTCTTTACATACGTCCTCAAAAAGGTAGGCCATCTGGTGCTGAGCCCTAAATCCCAAATTGGTCTATACCCATAGGCCCCATAGTAGTTCCTTTTTGGGATTACCCACTAGGGTTCTAAACATGAACCCCAAAAAGAAACTAGTGTGGGGCCTATGGGTAACCCTTTTGCCTGCTGCTGCACGAAGGAGGTTAGCTGCCCATGTGCGTCGATCAACGACCTGGCCGCCGGCTCTAGCGCTGCTGGGCTTCGTGGTTGCTTCCAGCGACTCCAATATCCCTTAGTTAAGGAATATACCTTAAATTATAGTAGGGACCCCTAATATGATTTAAGGTATCTTCCTTAATTAAGGGCTATTGGAGTCTCTGGGTTCGTGGTCTTGTTGCGGTTGAGGTCTTCAATAGATCTTCTTTTGGGCCGTAGGTTCCAATTCATTGGATAGATGTTCTTTTGGGCCGTAGGTTCCAATTTATTGTTAGGGCTGAGAGAAGTTGAGAGTTTCGGTTTTCTGTCAATGGGTTCACGTTTCAAGACCAGACACTTTGGTAGAGTAAGTCTTGCCTGCAACAGCCTCCAAAATTCTTGGTATTTCAGGCTTCGAAGCCTGAAATACAGAGACTCTTGTCTATCTTAAGCAACGAAGGTGGTTAGCCCAATTATCTCGTTGGTACATCGCTCGTGGGGTAATTCATGTAGGCGGGATCCTGGGTTCTTGTCAATCGTCCCGACGCCGTTCGACCCTCAATTGCGGCCGCATGCAGAACCACAATCCAAAGCACAACGACAGTTGACGGTCGCGATTCCAAACCTCTAATTATTCGACCCCCCAAACACCAAAATCTCAAAACCTCGCCCTGATCCTTTCTTCTATCCGTGATCCTGTACGCCGAACCCGATACGGCCCGATACGCTCGTTAAGGGTCCGCAGAAATCCCGACAGGAAATGGATTCCCTTCGATCTGCTGCTTCGCTCTATACCGGGACCCCAAAGCACAGCAAAGCTGGGTACTAATCATAATGAGAAGACGACTCGAGACTCACGGCTCGGGGTTCTTTGCCGTGGGTTTCTCTGCTTTTTCGGTGCTCACTGCTGTTGAATGCCCCAAAGTAATGTAGGGGCCTTATAATTAGTGAGAATAGGGTTTTGGGGTATATTAAACTCTAGCTATAATGGTTGTAATAGGGAACCCTCAAAATAGTATAGGTCATTATTAAGGCCCCTATATTACCCGCCAGCTGCCTCGGCGGCGCCAGCTCCATGCCGCAGCAAGCAAACACGTTCAGAGGCACTCAGAATGCGCCTTCTGGAAATTGAGCAACAGAACAGACGAAGGGAGCCCAATAATAAGTTAAGATATATACCTTAAATCATAATATTAAGGCCCCTATAATTTAAGGCATATTCCTTAATGAAGGGGTACTGGGTTCTCTGGGGACGAAGTAGTCGGCAGAATCAGGAGGACTTGACTTGCGATACTGCAGCGACTTGGACGTCACAGCTTAGTCTTATGGACATGCTCCTCCGCTTTGAACCTATCCAGCACGACCGGCAAATTGAATGTCACCTGCTGCACAACTCCGCTACATTGGGAGGGATGCTGTTTTGTAGTTGGGTTCCCACGGAAGAATGCATCCCTGCTGGCTTCTACAAGTCTCTGTCTGAGCAGATGGCTTCGGTACACACCTGGTCCAATCCGTGCCAGGAGGCTCACAATGTAGTGCACTACCTTGCTGCTGTTCGAGAATTGTCCCAAGGACTTCCGTACTTGTGACGGTAGCAGGCACGGCGTAGGTGTTTACGAGCAGTGCAGCCAGGTAGAATGCAATGTAGAAAGCAGCGACTTTCCACTGCTATTCTATTCTTGGACTTTCATCTCTCAAGCGACCGACGATGTCAAAAAGAGCAGGTCGAGTACGTGGAGATTGGGTGCCGCATGCCTATGCTGGTCCAACAAGACCCAAGGCTTCAGCCTATCCTACCTATAGTCTGCCAGTGTAGCTCCTTTCTTCGGCTTAATCCCAAAGAGGAGCTACAAGGCTGCAGGTACGCCGTGAGGTTCGAAGGCGGCGTAGTGTAGTCATTGCCCATGGACTCGGGCTTTAGGGTTTAGGGTTTAGGGTTTAGAAGCGAGATGCATCTTCCTACTCGTCCTTGAGGCTACCCCTCCGACACGACGGCTGCATTGTGAATAACGTAACCGGATCGTCAAGTTTTATCCGTCTCAACCAGACCCTCTGCAATGCCCAGTGCAATCCTCAAAGCAATAAAAAGCCCCTGAACCTCTCCACGCCTCCACCCCGAAGCCCACAACCCCGCAAACCCAACCCGAGCCTCAGATCCCTACATCCAATCGCTGTAAACTCCTAAACCCTAAACCGGGACAGAACTGTCGGACAAAATCAGAGAGCATTTCATGTAGTTCCATTGTATGTCATTAACCTAGGTGTCTAGTGTATTCTCATCACCACCCAACAGCAACACACCGCTGAATAAAATGTCGCAGCACAGCCAGGGTTGAGGGCTTCGTCGGTGTCGGCAAGTGCTCGACAGGAATAATAAAAAGATTCGCGATAATCAAGAGTTTCTTCAAGACTTCAACGCCAACGCACTTGTTTATTTCCTGCTGTCGTAATGTGTTACGATGCGACTGCATGGTTACGGATATTACAACCATGACCCTACCTCCCTAAACCCTAAACACCAAATTCAGAGGCTAGTCCGCACTTTCAAAGCAGACTACGATTGACTGCGGTATGTTTGCCTTCGACGCAATTCACTAAACAGAACCTGGAGCCGTTGAGGTCCTAATTTAGAGCTTACCCTCACAGACATAGGTTTATCAATGTTTCACCATGGGTTTGAAGAGGTCGTATTTTCTTCTTGCTGCGGTTCACACGGACTGTCACTCATGAAAGCTCCATAGCAAGCTGTCAGAGAGCAGCCAAGACGAGGGTTGTCCTTCCCTGGTGGCATGGTTTATCTGGAGGGTTGCCTTCCAAGGACAACCCCTTCGCTGCCTCCACGTGTGAGGAGCGGAGCTAACAGGACGGGGCCTGTAGCAAAGCGTGGCCCTAGGAACCCAGACACCTGCATCGTGGGAAACTGTTTGTTGCACCGCAAAAGAGGCCTGAAGCACAGATTTCCGGGCATCCGACTTTATTTTACATATATAGGTATCAGACTCTTCCGGTAGGATCCACACGTTTCAAGCTCTAGCCGGCTCTACAACATACTCCTCGGCTGCACTTGCAGCGGCTTCGCCGGCTGCACTGGTGCAGTGATGTGCTCCATGGCAAAAAAGCAGGAAAGCCACCGTTTAGGGTTTAGGGGTTTATAGGGCTTTAGGGTTTAGGGTTTAGGGTTTAGTGTTTAGGGTTTAGGGCTTCAGGGGTTTAGGGTTTAGGGTTTAGGGATTTAGGGTTTCAGGGTTTAGGGATCTGCGATGTGCCTGGAGCAGATCTTAAGGATTCAGGGTGCCCCGATTGCTCAGGACGTTGACCGGCACGGACAGGTAGACTTTGCCGTTCCTGAGCCCACGCGTATTCGACGGTTTCTAGCATAAGGAAAGCAGACCTGAAAACAGACGCAACTACCCAAAGGACAGAAAGATAGGGGCCGAAGAATTTTGATAGGGTCTTGGGGCCAGAAGGACACGGTTACAACCGGGAACTATAATGGAATGCGATTACAACATAGTCATATAGTTATTCCGACCCCTATATAACTCAGAATCCCAGGTTCTCGTCTGGCTCCGGAAACCGACCAGCACGGATGTTGCATTGCACCGAGGGCACGATGAGCTTGGGAACCGCCAGCTGCGCATCCCGGCTGTCCCGCATGTTCACCTCGGAATTCATGGCTTCTGCGCTACCAACATCTTGAAAGCCCCACAGCCACCCGAACCTTTCCAGTCTCTTGAAGGCCCAAGTAGCGAAGTCTTCTTCGGACGTACCCCCACCAATGTGGATGTTGCTGTTCTTCTCGTCTCCGATGGTGGTCTCCCATGCGAAGTGCGAACGGCCTCCCTGTCGTGAGACAGCGCACAACTCCAACATGCATCGGCTATTACCTCCACCATGATTGACTCCATCCAAATGAAGGTACACTGTCGCTCGTCTAGACTGTCTGGTGACGAGTGTTCTTGGCGTGGTGTGCTTCCTGCTGCTGTTTCTGTTGCATACGACCGTTGTCAAGATCGTCTCTCCCATGTTGCGAATGCTGCATCTACTATTTCAAGCTGCTGGTGTTGCCCTGTTACCCTGTTGTGTGTCTATGTTGTTGTGTGATGTTGCGGGTACCTTGTACTGAAAGGGTGTATCGTTGTAGCAGTTGTCGTCGTCGACGTAGTAGAGGTAGCAGTAGCAGTAGCAGCAGTAGCAGCAGTAGTGGCAGCAGCAGTAGTGGCAGCAGCAGC